TGCTCTTACAAATTTGTATTTGGTCTATTCAAGAAATGATGTGGAAATCAGTCCTGACATCCCAGAAAGACAAAATGAGACACATGACAGCAAAACATATGGCTCAAATAGACATCCTTATATGGCCAACACAGACCATATTCCCAGAAATTCACATATGGAAAACACCACCTGCAGCTAAAGCCAAAAAAACAAAGAGTTGACACGACAAAGAAAAAAAAAAGAGCAATATGCTACGTAAATTGTGCAGCTTTAAAAGATGTAGGGAGATAGCCAACTGTATTTGAATTTAAAAAGATGGGGGAAAATGTCCTTAGGAAGTGCTATGGGTGGTAAGCAATGCTTTGCTAACACAGTCACTGGCGGAGTTGCCATATCTTAAAAGCGTTCAAATTCTAAATGCTTTCTCTGTTTATTACAAATGTATGTGCTATTCAGAACTCTGAATGTGTTTTAATGCTTTCGGATATCTGCCTGCATATTTATCTTAATACGGTGCCATCTGAAAACATGCAGTAGTCCTTTCATTATTAAGTTAAAAAAAAAATCTTGTATATCTGTTCCAGTATTTTATCTTTGCTACTCTTTTTGTAGCCAGTCTGAATGCTTTCTTATGGGATAAAAAATAATAATAATAAAAAAATGGATGTGCTGTTGTACCTGTACATCACACATTCAGTAATTCATGTATTGCGCTTGTACTATTTCATGTTCCTGAGGATACCCATTTTGATATCTAGATTTATAAAGTTCACTTTGTTTTAACTTCTTCCAACACTTGCTTGCATCTTTATCTCCAGATATGCCTGTGTGGAATCACATGTGTTTCCCCCCGCCCCCCTAATAATTTATCCTCAGACATAACCTGAGTAGTGGCATTTTTCTAATTATCTTCCTTCCCCCCCCCCCCCCTTTATTTTAATCTTGGTGTACACTGACCGGTGCTTAGTGGCTAGGCTAGAATGAATATTCTAAGAGAAAGATAATTTATAATAACTAAGTTTATCATTGTCCTATTTGACTTGGCATAAATCTCTGTGTATCACTTTACTTATGTCATTTCTTACAATTGTACAGTACTAACATAAAGGACGGGCTTGAGGAGAAGTGAGTATGTATTTGTGAATAATAGGTTCATAATTGTACTACATTATTCTTTATAATAAAGTCACTGTTAGATATTTTATCCTCCTTTATTCTGCTTATCATTTTCCAAGTCCATGTCCATCCTTATTACCCACTTTTATGTTTTGTGTTTGAGAGTCAGTTTGCAATTCCTGGATAAAAGATGCTATTCAAATTTAAAGATTACTGTTGTAGTTCCCACTTTTCATTAGCATTGGCCAAGTCTTTAGGAGCCTAAGGCAATCAGGAAGCTTTTTGTCTTATTTACTGTGTAAATAATGGGGTAAATTTACTTACAATATTTTATTCCAATGTGTCTTAATATTGATATTTTCAGCAACCCTTTTTTGGTCTTCTCTTTGCTGAAAAACTTTTTCTTCTTTTAAAAACACTCAACATCAGGAGAAGTTGCATGGATAATTTTTTTTGTAGTCTAGAATTTTTTTTAGGTTTTTTTTTCCTCTTATGTTGCTATTTTTGTAAATCTGTGCAGTGTGACACTAGAATGCACTGTCCCTACTGAAAACCAGGCAGGATAGCGTGTCAGGCATCACCAGTTTGAAGCAACTCGTCAAACATTCATCTTGGAAGCTCCTAACTTAATCTATCATATTGCAAAAATCATTAACGAGATAATTCATTGCTATTTGTCTTTTTAAATATTTCCTTATTCGTTACATTTCTTATACTTCAATTTTAAAACATTCTTCATATTTCCCCACATTTCAACTTTTAAAAATATGACTTCATTGGTTTACTTTTCTTGTTTTGTGAGGCTGTCGTTTATTATCACATGTTCTTCTTTTTGCTCAAGGCTTGGGTTTGTATGTGCCAAGATTCATGGTTGCCTTCCTCGATTTTGACGAACCTTTCCGGTTTGTGGGAGAGACTGGGGGGGCCATTAGATTGATATATTCTCATTGTGTCTCTCCTAAACTTGTCCTCCCCAGGAGGCCAGTATTTCTTATCCTTTATCTTCTACTTTACCTTCTGCTTTTCTTGGATTTCTAATGTAAACAGTGCCTGTAAGTATGTATTGGTAGCTTTAAAGAGCCTCATTTGCATATTTTCCTCTTATCTCAGTACTTGTGTTAACTTGTTGCTTTTTTATGAGTAACAAAATGTTTATCGGACTGATTTTTTTTTCTTCTCTCTTTTCCTTACTAGTATGTCCTGGAAAAAAAAAAAAGTAATTCTTTCAACATCTTTGTTTTTGTCTAATGATTAACTGCCTTCAGGGACTGAGATGCTAGTGCTCAACCCTAAGCGATTAACACTGCATCTCTCTCTGGGTGAGATTGTAATGTTCTTCCTTTTTTTTTTCTTTTATTTTTTTTTCTTTTTTCTTTTATGGGAATTACACTTAATAAGATTATCTCAGAGGATCTTCCTTATGAGCTAATCACCATTGATTGAACTGGGTAACTTACCCTGGATTGCAGAAGGATTTATTGCAACCACAGATGTATTTATGTACCCACCCAAACTTTGTCTTTCGCTTGTGTGAAGTTAGTTTCAAGAATGATGGCATCTTTTCCCTTTTTTAATAACAAGTCAGGTCTCTTTATTAAGTGACCCATTTTTTTGCTTAACGCGGCGGCGGCCACTCCAGGCCACGTAGGTCTCTCCCTCCAAAGAGTTCTCTGGCTCGGAAGCGAGGGAGTTTTGAACCCACCTCTGACTTTCACGTTGGCTCTAGAGATAACTTTAGGACTCATCCTCTTGGAGGGCACATCTTCGCCAGACCGTTTTAAAGACCTTGGCCTTTGATTCCTCTGCAAATGTTCCCGCAGCCCTCCGCGCTTCCCTGGAGAGCTGTCCCCTCCGGAGGGAGGGTCCCCTCCTGTCCCTTCCTCGGACCCGGGACCTCAGAGACCTCAGGCCTCTCACCTGCGTGGCCGGGTCCATCTCCCGCGGGGCCGGCGCGCCCTCCCCGCCTCTCCGGTTGGTCTCCGGGTGCCCGCCTGCGGCGCTCCGGACGGATCCCTTCCTGTGGCTTTTGTGGCGCGTGGGTGGCTGGGTGGTTAGCTTTCCCCCCTGGCCTTCGCGCCCTCCTCCCCATCACTTTCACCGCCACCACCACCCCCGCACCCCCCCACCCCCCACGCCCCGCCAGCGCCGCCCTCCTCCCCCGCTCCCTCCGCACACCTGCCCCCGCCGCCCGCGCCCTCCCCGCGGGGCCCGGGGAGCCCCGCGCCGCCTCCCCCTGCGCCCTCCCCCCCCGGCGGCCCCGCGCTGCGCCCGGTACCCGGGGCATTGTGTGCCCTCCGCGCCGGCCGCCTCCCGCTCATCCAGCTCATTGCAAACGCCTGCGCACCCGCCCGGGGCCGGAAACCGTGCGCTCCCCCCACCCCCCATTCCCTCCCCTCCCTCCCCGCCCCGCACTCATTCACTAGTTACTTGTCTTTTTTAACTCGCCGCCCCCTCCCCCTCCCCCGATCCCGGCCCTCCAGCCCGGGTTTTAATCCCCATCCCTTCGCCGCCTGCTCCTTGCACCCTGCCTCCCCGCCCCCCCCCCCCCCCTCCCCCCCCCCCCCCCCGCCGCCTTCCTCCTCCGCTCCGCACCCCCTTCCTCCTCCTCCTCCTCGTCCTCCTCCTCCTCTCCCTCCCGCTCCTCCTCCTCCGCCGCCGCCACCGCCACTGGCTCGCTCGCTCCCGCTCCCCGGACGCTGGGGAAGGGCTCGGGGCGGCGGCGGCGGCTGCCGGGAGGCGGCTGCGTGCTCGGGCCGGGCGGCGAGCGGGGAGGATTTGTATTAAAATGAGGAGGAGGAAGAGGAGGCAGCCACAGCGGCGGCGGCGGCGGCGGCGGGAGCGGCGGCGCGGAGGGCTGCAGCCCGGGCGGACGCGCGGAGCCGAGCTGGGCACGGCGGCGGCGGCGGCGACAGCGGCCGGGATGAGTCAACTAATCATTTAATGGGGGCAGAGACGGCAGCGAGGGGGAGAGCGCGAGCGAGCGAGCGAGGGGGGGGGGGGGGGAAGAGAGAGGGAGAGAGAGGAGAGAGAGAGAGAAACAGCCCGTCCGGGCGCCGGCGCTCACACGCGCACAGACGCGCGCACACACCTCCCGGGCCGCCCGGCCGCCACCGCCGCCGCCGGCCGAGCAGAAAGCGGGGCGACTTCCCCCCCCCACCCCCCCCCTTGCATTTTGGGAAACTCCTCATCAGTTTTGCGGGGGTTCCTGCGTTCCTCCCCCTCCTCCCCCCTCCTCCTCCCCTAGCGCCCAGGGCCATTGTGGCGCTCCTTGTTTACCCCGGACTCCGGCCCAGTGAGCGCGCGGCCACTTTTTGGGGGGGAGGGCGGAGGGGGCGGGGAGCGTGTGGCTGCGGAGGCGGTGGTGGAGGCGGCTGGGGGGGTGCCTTCTGATTCCTTCCTCCCTCTCCCGCCCTGTCCTGCCCTCCCTCCTCCCCCCAAAACCCCCTCTCTCGCCCCTTCACTCGCCCGGCACCCCCAGCCGCGCGCCGCCCCGCGCCCATGGGCAGGGAGCGGGTCCGCGGGGCTGCGGGCTGCGAGGGCCGGAGCCCCGGTGGCGTGTTAGTGCCTCTCCGGGCTTTTTCCGCCGCCTCCTTGCCCCCCGCCCTCGCCGCCCTGGGTTGAGGGTGCGAGGCGGTGGGAAGAAAGTTTAAGGTTTGTTCGTATCAGTCGCGATTGTTGGGGGGCGGGGGAGGGGGGCGAGGAGGGGAGGGGCGGCGAGGTGGCCTTCCCCTCGCCGCGTCCTCCGGGGTCATCGGAGAAGAATCCTGCAAGTGACAGCCCGAGTGGACTCGGGGTTCCCTCGCCCCGAAAACCCCGAGCGAGCTGAGGGAGGGGGACACCCCCCTCTTTTTTTCCCTCCCATTTCGGGGAGACCTTGTCCGCAGTGAATTTCTTTTTTTTTTTTTTTTTTTTAATTTTCTTTTTTGAAAGAATCCTCCAGCCACCACATCGCCTCCCCAGCTCCCACCACCACACAGTGCCCAGGGTTTGCTTTGTTTTTTACGATTCTTCCCCCCAACGAATCACTTGTCAGATCAATTTTATCTCTTCGCCCTCCTCCCTTCTCCTCCCCACTCTCCCCTCCTCCCCCTCCGCAAACCCCGTTCTCTGAGGTTAGGCGTTTTACAAACCTTTTATGTTGTTTTTCGAATTGTGATTTTTGTTTTTTTTAAAACAACACTCTCTCCCCCTCCACCCCCCACCCTCCATGGCTACTCTTCCAGGCGTTCATCTCTGCCCTTCCCCCGCTTAGGGGGGCGGGGGTAGGGGAAGAGAAAATAATACAATTTCAGGGGAAGTCGCCTTCAGGTCTGCTGCCTTTTTTTTTTTTTTTTTTTTTAATTAAAAAAAAAAGAGAGGGGGGGGGGACAGAAAACATCAGTCTTGAACTTCTCTTCAAGAACCCGGGCTGCAAAGGAAATCTCCTTTGTTTTTGTTATTTATACGCTGTCAAGTTTTGAAGTGGTGAGTTTCAGGTCGGTTTTGCTAATTTCACTCCGTAAAACTGCAGTGTTTCTGTTTCTAGATAGTACTTTGCTTCTTTGTCTCTTTAAAAGGTCACAGGGAAAGCTTGGCCTGGATCGTGCCGGCCATGTGGAATGGATAAGGGCATAATCTCTTAAAATGTGATTAGGGGGTTCCGTGGGGGTGGGGGGTTGAGGGAGGCCATTTAGCAAGGAACTCCTTGAAAGGCTCCCACATTGCAGCAAAAACAAAAGCAAAAAAAAAAAAATGTTCTTGAAACCGGAATTTCGTGCTTTTCTGTTTGTGTGTGTGTGTGTGTGTGTGTGTGTGTGTGTGTGTGTAAAGGGAAATGATTGCTGTGTCTGAGTTCACTGTTTTAGTCAGGAGTGATCGCATATGGACTTGGTTTATGGCCTGGGAAATGGGATTTTGAGAAAGTAGCCAGCTTTCTGTGTGCCAGCCAAACGTTACACGAAAATGGACTTTAAAATGTGTAACTCACAAACTCTCGAGCCTGGCGGCTGTGGAGACAGAGTTAGTTCCTGGGCTGTCAGTCCAGCAGGCCCAGAGTGGAGACTGCCCTGTGCATTTCCAAACGGAGGTTTGGTGAACTTTAGCCTTGGGCATAGAGTTTAAATGAGGAAATGGGGTGTTTTATGTGCATGTAATTTTGCTTTATAATGTAAAGCTTTTTACAGGACGACCGAGTGTTTAATTGACGCTTGTGGGTGGGTATTGGGAGGACAATTTTGCATGACCTGTATGATGTTTTGATTATCAATACGTTAACTAAATTACCATCTATCAGTTTCACTTGCTGTATCCTTTATATTGCTGCTAAGCCTCAAGACTGCTGAATATGTTTGGTAGCATTAACTTTGATGCTGATGTCTACTTTTTTTCTCTTTTTTCTTAAAATTGCCCCTCGGGTGAAGTATTTTCTTTTCAAAGCATATGTTTTAAAATTCATTTTCTGCTCTAGGGGAAGGCAACCACTTTGGGGGAAAAAAAAAAAAGCAGCTCTGTATTATAACCCATATGTAGCATTACAAAGAGTGTTTTGAATAAGTTAATCATTGCTCTCTAATTTTGGCTTTAGTTTAATATAATGGAGAAGAGTAATCTTGATAAAAAGTGGTTAAAAGAGGCACATTTATTGTTAATGAACCTCATAACCAAAAACAGATGGGACCTCGATCAATGGTAAACCTTTAGTTCTCAGCGTGCCACCCTGGAGTACAAGGATAAATAGCCATTATTTCTAAAACTTTACAGTTCTTCAATTGGCATTCTTAAGGTTGCTTTTAAGCCTACAGATTATCGTTGCCCCCTCCTCCCCATTTGCCTCTTTTCTTGGTTATAATGGACAGAGTAATCTATGGCTAAACAGAAGAAAAACATGCTTATAGAAAAGCCATGCTACTATAAGCTGGCTTTCAATAAATCGGATCTAAATAGCTTTCCCGGTGTAATAATTTTTTAAAAGTACAAGAGATGTCAAATTACTAGACAGCTGGAGGAAAGTAGTAATTATCATATTCTATCTGATTTTTTTTTGAAATATGATCCCTTCCCCCTTCGTATTGGTAAGCTAAGTACTATGAAAGTTCATAATTCCACTCACTTGTTCTTATCAATTCTAGTTAAAACTATTTTAGAAGTGACTTGGATATTGTGCTCATTGTTTTATCGTAAACCATATGAAAATTGATGTCCATTGTATAATTGAAAATATAAATTTTTTTGAAGTCAACCAAGATGTTAACTTCAGTGCATACCGAGATTATTTTTGAAAACTGGCAATTGTGTTTTACCTAAATCAAGATTTTTTTAAAAACCAGTTTGGCATTTGCATCTAATGCTAATATCTCAAAGTATTTTCACATGTTTTGCTATTGAAATTAAGAGCTTTCTATTACTAAAGTACTCCTAAATGTTAACTCTAAACATGTGAGTGGTAATACTTCAGTACTTGGAATATTTGAAGAAGTCCTCCACCTAACATCCATTTGCTTAGGGGTGAAATGATCCAATCACACATTTGAGCCAAGACTTAACTAGGTATATAACAGGTCATGTAACACTTGCAACTTTCATAGTATAATAGAAAACTTTTCTACAAATTAACCTGTAATGCCAGTGGGGAGTGTAAAAAATTAGATGTTTGCTACCTTCTTCTGAGGTGGTATGTATATACGTGTATCATTTTTTCCCCCCCATAAAAACTTAACTATGTTACAAATATATATATATATATATATATATATATATATATATATACACACACACACACATACACACACACACACACAGATTTAACTAATATTTGGACTGTGATCATTTTTCCATCTGTGATTAAAGTGTTACTGTTTTGTTCTGTAAAGAGTTGCTAATTTTTAGAAATTGGGACTGTATAAATATAATTTATTTTCTTTCTGGCTATATTGTAGTGATTCTTGTTTTAGAAGTAAAGCCCATTCCCCCTCCCACACACTTAGTTTTGGTGGTAGGTCACAAATTAGCTTTTATTCACGTGTGTTAATACAGTTTTCACAAATTATTCTGTTAACTTGAGTGGACATATGGTGTTATCGTGAAATATAGTAACATCTACATTATATTATCTATCTAGCTGAGTAATCTTGCAGATTATATTTGTGAAGAGAGATATCTAGGGGTAAAACATTTACATGATGTATATATGTAAATACAGAGAAAGAGTAGGAGAGAGGGAGGGGGGGAGAGGGAGAGAGAGAAACACCCCTCACCCACCCAATTCTAACAGCATCTTCTTTTTTAAATCCTGGCAGGTGATCTTTAGAGGGTAACTGAGTATGGATCATTTGAACGAGGCAACTCAGGGGAAAGAACATTCGGAAATGTCTAACAATGTGAGCGATACGAAGGGTCCACCAGCCAAGATTGCCCGCCTGGAGCAGAACGGGAGCCCACTGGGAAGAGGAAGGCTCGGGAGCACAGGTGGAAAGATGCAGGGAGTGCCTTTGAAACACGCGGGCCATCTGATGAAAACCAACCTTAGGAAAGGTAAATACTCTGGAGCCAAATCCTGGAGAGCTGTGAGCCCTGTGCCTACTACCCAAGGCTGCTCTGTGTGGGTGTGGAGAGGCAGCGCTCCTCTGTAGGCTCTTTGCCTTGATTCTCTTTCTGATCTGAAATCAGTTACATCCCTGGCTGCGTTGTCAGGCAGGTTTTGAAAGTGGGGGCTCTGTGTGTGTGAGTGGAGCATCTTACTCTGCTGCTACAGACTGGGATTATTGGACGTTTACGTTGATCAGGACTGAGTTCAACCTAGTGGTCTTTAGCTACCCAAGGCTTCCATGGATAAGGTGTTATTGAAGTAGAGGATATATATACATGGCTATTGCTGTACTCTCCCTGCTTCAGAATCAGACACTGGCTTTTCCACCAGATGACTGGTTGTAAAAGACAGGTTCAGAGGTGATGGGAATTTTATGTGCTTTGAGGTACAAGTTGTGCGATGTCATTTTTGTGGCTTGTTTTCTTAAGAGCAAATGGCATTATTTGGCAATGAGAAAAACCTGATCATTCTAGTTTTCACGTTTGCTATCACTGGGTATTTTTGATAAAAAGGAAAGGCAGATTTAGGCAAGTTTATAAGGAGAGGACGTGTAACTGGGACTCCCCTCTGCCCATTTTATGTTAAGTTGATGAAGTTGAACAACTTTGTGTTCAGCACTCGTTCATGTAAAAGCAGAGCCTGTGCTGGTTTCAATGTGTGCGCCTCAGAATGGTCTTTATTTTGTCTCCGAATAAATGTGTACAGGATTCAGATTTCCCTTCTATTTGCTAAGCAAAGGATAGAAATGCCATCCTTTAGCGACCGAGAATATTAAGTAGATAAAGTTAGAAGGCAGAGGAATTTCATTGTGTTTGATGCATAACATTTATCATACAATCATTTATTTTTTCCTTGGTTTGGCGAAAACAAAGAATATATTGATCCTGAAATGAACAGACACAGCAGACCGTATTGTTAGATCTTTATCTATTAAAAATGGAAAAACAGCACTTCAGCAAATTCTTTGGCCTCTGCTCATGATTACCCTATTTATTGATTGTTTGCCAAGAATGTATGCATCTTAAGAAAGCCAGGGTAAGAGCATTAAAAATATAATTTATTATGGCTTTTCCAACAGAGTGCATTAATATTGTACTGTGAAGCACTGGGGCTCTATAAAAAAAAAAAAAAAAAGACTTTCTGACGCCTGCAAACATATAAGTTCCATAAATTCCTAAATAGGAGATTTCAGCTGTCTCTGGTATTATGTGATATTTGCACAGCAAACTTTTAATGCCAGGACAGTTTTAGACAAGGATTCTACAGACTTCCCTGCTCCTTATGGCAGACGTGCTGTTTACACAGGCTCATAAACCTTCAGCAAAAGCTTCTGAGACTGCCTCCAGGTTTAAATCATGCGGTATTTTTAGCAGCCGGCAGTGGCCAGTGAGCTGCTGGCCCCCTTTAATGCCGGGAGGTTATGGAGTTGCTGGAGTTGGAAGTCTCGCCAAACACCCGCACAAATAATCAGTTCAGAGGAGGCTCCTGTTCAGCATTACTCCCCATGGCAGGAGGGCAGCCGTGACAGTTGGCTGGAAGGGTTAGCAGGCGAGGTTTGTAATGAAATGATACTGTTGTCACGTTATCAGCAGCCACCTTTCGTTACCTACATACAGGGTCCCGCTCCATACAGTCGAAGATGTATCCCCATGCATGTCAGTCGTTTGAAAAAAAAAAAAAAACCCGCAGTGATGTCATAGGGCTAAGGAGAGAGTAGGACCAAGTCAGCCTCATCCTTGAAGAGGAAAAATCAATGCATATGTTTTTGTTGTACGAACCCAACTCTTTGAAGCCATCAGGACAGGGGGAGGAGAAACCCAAGTACAGTAATTTCACTTCCTGCTCAAAAGATTTTTTTTTTCTTACAGCATTGCATTGATAGTGACTTATTTTCAAAATGTAGTTTAATTGGGGAAGTTTCTGTGCTTATTTCAAACAACAAAAATCACTGAAGCCTTTTAGTGCTGGTAGGTTTGTGTGTGTGTGTGTGTGTGTGTGTGTGTGTGTGCGCGCGCGCGTCTTTTAAATTTTATTTTTTGTGTATAGTTTCTGTTTGACAGGTGCTAGATAAAAATTGTGGCAGAGTTGTGGCTTAAGAAAAAGGGGCTGGATGTTTTTGTGTATTTGCTGAGGAGGTTTTGCCAAAGTACCTCCAAGCCAAGAAAGAAATCACCAGTTAGTCTATTGCTGTGTTTTTTTTTGCTGTGGTCTCCCCAAATTTTCTGATCCCTGGTGAGTTCTTTCTCTGGTATCAAACAGCCGAATGAACGACTAGAATATTGGCAAGCTCCACGGCTGCTTTTTTCTTTTTTTTTTTTTTATGTCTCGCCTGTCGGATTCCTCCGAATGAGTTTGTGAGCTTTTTCTAAGTAAACCTGAAGGTTTTTGGTGCTTTAGCTTTATTGTTTTTGTTTTTTTCCAGAGTTAGAATCTCTCCTGAACAGGTCACTGAGGCTTTGGTGGAGAGGCATGTGTAGAAAAAATGTAGCTGTCTTACGGCTAGCTTTTGTTCACAGAAGAGAGCATTTTCAAAGGGCATCTTCGGGTGTCCGTAGAAAATCCCGATTTTTATTTATTTATTTTTTTTAGCTCTGGTTGGCATGCGCTAGACATCTTCAGAAGTTGGTAGGATTCTGCGAGTCCAGAGGACAGCGCTGAGAGAGGCATTGATGTTACAGGGCTAATTGAGGATCCTGGGTGCCCTGTTAAAGTAACCCTTGCCATCATTTATGATAAAGATGATACCCTGCTGGCAGTTTGCCACAAGCACAGTTCGGATGCATCTGCTTTTAACCCTTCTCTGCGTGGCCCTGGGAGTCTGGCAGTGCGCTGCGTGGACACCTTGAGGGCAACAGCATACCCTGGTTTCCGTTTCTAGAAGCCTTTTTTTTCTTTTTTCTAATTTGGTATGGCCAGTGCTGATTCATCCTCTGGCTGCTGAGTTATTGCATTGGGTTAAAGTAAACGGAGAGCGAACATCAGATCTTCGCAGATTCCTTTATCCTAACAGGTCCCGATGAGGCCAGTTTCCTTTTCCGCGCGCTCGTTTTCGTCCCATTTACTCCAGCAAGGCTGTTCGTTTTAAAGACACGTGGTTGCCGTGGGTGTCTCTTTAGTCAGGTAGATGGAGTGAGGAGGAGCCATAAAAATAAAGTCTTATTCGCCTGCATTGTGCACATACTGGAATCATACGTTTTGAGCATCAGTTTGGCTAAGTTTTGTGCTCCTTGCATGGAGGCATGATAAAGTAAAAACCTTTAAAGAGGAAGTGAAAGGCTAATCATTTTACAGCCAAAGATAATTTGTTTGGGCACAAACAAGGGATCCTTTGATGTTAACAAAAGCCTGTGGGAAACACGAAGTTGCTTCTTGTGAAGAAGACAACTGGAGTGAGTCAGGTTTGCCCTCTGTCTGCATACCACTCCCAACCGCTCAGACAAGACACCTACTTCCCCCCCCCCCCCCCCATCAGCATTATCTCCTGATCAGAAAGGTAATTCTGCAATAACTAAGCTTCATGGAAGCAGGGCCCACCTCCCCCTCGGAGCAGGCTCACGTTGTTTCCATCTCTCTCTCACCATTCCGAAAGAGGAGCGGTTGTATGTTTGTATATGTTGGTGTGTGCGTGCCCGTGTTTCTGTGCCCTGTCTGCCTGGGAAACAGTCTCTCCCTCCTCTCCCTGTTGTGAAGATTTATTTTCATGGCTTCGTGTTTGTTTTCTTGGGTTTTTTTTTCCTCCTCTTCCCTCCCTCCCAGACTGTCTTTCTGAAGATTGTTGGTTTGCCTCTCTCCCTCCCTGTTCCTCCGATAGGCACCATGCTACCGGTGTTTTGCGTGGTGGAGCATTATGAGAACGCCATTGAATACGACTGCAAGGAGGAGCATGCGGAATTCGTGTTGGTGAGAAAGGACATGCTTTTCAACCAGCTGATCGAAATGGCACTGCTGTCTCTGGGCTACTCGCACAGCTCTGCCGCCCAGGCCAAAGGTAAATGACGCACGTGCGGGGCCGGGAGAATTGCTTGGCATCCTTTGTGTTTACCTCGTAGAGAAAGCACTGACTATAATTTTTTTTTCCTTTTTCTTTTTTTTTTTTTTATTCCAAGAACTGTAGGTTGTGTATGATGACACGGGCTCCTTATAGGCTGTGGCTTTAAAAAATTGACTTGATTCAGTTTGGTTTAGTTAACACACATTTTTTGCTCATGTGGAATGTCGAGGTAGATTTTTTTTTTTTTTTAAATTACTTCAGCTGAATCATTAGTATGCTTATTGACCTTAATAATCTGCTCCACTGAGGACCCACAAGGAAGTGAGGAGCGTATTTGAGCAGATGGACTGTTGAGAGTCAATTTGCATTTATGACTGAATATCTAGTTCTGTTTCTTTTATTCTGTTTCTGATGGTTTTATGGGCTGTAAAGTATTTTTCAATGCTGATTCCCTTTGCAGTAGAGGATCTTATCTGAATCATAAAGCCGTGTTAGCACTGGCTCAGCTATGTCTTATTTAGAACTTCCTGCAAGTTTAGGAAAAACGTGGCCTGGGCATCAGTTTTATTGATGGCGTTTGATTTCCAAAATAATAAAACAACCCTACTGTCATTTACATAATTTCACAATTTGGAAAGCTGAGCTATGAATATTTTCACTGACCTGCCTTTCAGAGGGAAAGGAATCATTTCAGACAGAAATGACAATATTGCTTGTGGTGGGAGCCATGAAAGAAAAAACAAAACAAAACAAAAAACAACAACCTAGCAGATGTATTGTCTGAGGGGTACAGCATGCAGTGACACATTCTCTCTATCTGGACTAGGGCTAATCCAGGTTGGAAAGTGGAATCCAGTTCCACTGTCTTACGTGACAGATGCCCCCGATGCTACGGTAGCGGATATGCTTCAAGACGTGTATCATGTGGTCACGTTGAAAATTCAGTTACACAGGTGAGTCAGGGCAGCGTGCTAGGGGGAAGCATTCTGGCTACCTGATATTTTTAACTAAAGCATCTCTGCTCAACCTTTTCATTTCCTCTGTGTTTCAGACAGGTTAATTAAAATGGATGTTGTTGCCTTCTCCTCTCTGCTTTATTTTCCTAACTTCAGTGTAGAATTTAAAAGCAATCGCATCCCCCCTCCAAAAAAAAAATAAATAAAATAAAATAAATTGTAGGTTTGTGCAGGTTATCAAAAGACAAGACTTTTTATATGTAGGCAATGAAATGATGCCTTACAAGAAGGCATTTTACATAAAGTTTACTTAAGAGAAAAATATTTCTGCATATCATGAACAGTGCCATCTGTGTACATTTTGTGAAAGAATGCCTTGTTCACTCTTGCTGCAGCTTTGTTTCTTTATATATATATATATATATTATTATTTTTTTACCATTTTAATTCGTATGAGCGGAGTCACGAAAGGAAAATGGCTAATACGTTCACGCTTCCCTCTGCTTGCTCGTGAGAGAGCAGTACACCTTAAATTGTCTTCCCAAGCGCATCAGAGCAGGAAGGTAGAAGTAACATGAAAAAATAGCCACCACAGGCAGCTGATGTATAATTCATGCATCGATACAGCAGATGTGTTGTATAAAGTAATTAACTAATCGGAACAATCAGGAGACCGAGAGCAATCTCCAGATGCATCTGTTTGATGCGCAAAATGAAATCTGTCTGTCTTAAAGGAATGTTTTGCAGCGGGATGCAATCTTGTAATAATCCCCTTTCTAATCTCCGTCTCACACATAGTTGCCCCAAACTGGAAGACTTGCCTCCCGAACAATGGTCGCACACCACCGTGAGGAACGCTCTGAAAGACCTCCTGAAAGACATGAATCAGAGTTCGCTGGCCAAGGAGTGCCCCCTTTCACAGGTACTTAGCAGCGTGTGGAATAAGTAATAAGACATCCCATCCCAGGCCGCCCCGATGTGAGTGAGGTTCCATGGGGCTCCGTGGTGCCGGGAGCGAGAATCTGCCAGAAATGCAAAGTGGCTTGACCACAGGTGATGTTTAAAAAAAATATGCCTGATTCATTCTGAGCGCAGCCTTGACACTTTTTTCTCCTTTGGGAAAAGAGCGAAGGAGAAACGGCTCAGCAGACTCCGCTAGCTTGTTTTCCGATTGCTCTTCTGAGCATGGGAGCTCCATCCTCCCGAGGGCTCCGATGTAGGGAAGAGTCAAGGCAATCACACTTCCGGGAGCCCTCAGTGTAAGTGTGAATGTGGAAAACTTTGTCGTGCCGCCTGAATTACGAGTTCAGTTGTCTAATACTTAGCTCATTATAAGAATAAAGAACTGCAAAGAGCATTTGTAGTAATAATTATAAAAGTAAGAATAGAAATCTCCTAAAGGTTGAGTAGTTATTGTTCCTTAGGATTTTCTCTCTAGTTTTGGGGCATTGGGTTTGCCTCTTTCTCCCCCCTCTGAGATGCCTGCCAGACCACCAGGAATTTTTGGAATAAGACACAGATCTATTTTTATTGTGTTTGATTTTTTTTTAAGAATGAATTTTGATGGAGAGTTACCAAAACTACAGAGAGAGGCCACCCCTGTTTCTAAATGTAAAACCAAACATCGTGTTGGATAGTGCTCAGCTAATTTCAGATTTAAACAAACAAACAAACAAAAACAACAACAAAGGTGCTATGAACCTGCTTTTTATGGGCTGGCTGTGCGGTGACTACATACATGTGGTAGAAAACTGCCCCTTGGTGCCCACATGCAGTGGAAGGCCATTCTGTGACAGAGTATAATCGAAGTGCTGATAGAACTAGATGTTTAAGATTTTCTTTCAGTTCAAGTTTAATTCATAATTCTGAATGTCAGTCATTTGAACTTGAACTGTATGACTCTGCTACAAACATTTCTGCAGTTGAGGGAGTCTTCACATGTGTTTCCAATATGATGCTCATGAAGATCCAGGGCCCCTTTGGAAGGAAGCTTGCGGGCTTCTGTGCCACCTTTTCGTGGAACCCCCATGCATTGCTGGTTTGCTGCATTGTAGTTCATCCGTTTTCCTTTGATATTTATTAGCAGTTACAGAGTGAAGCGCATGAACTAAGTGGATAGTTAATGATGACTGGCTGTGTATGCTCTTTTGAGGTGAGCTCTAGCCACAGGTAAAACATCCTCTGTGTTGTTACGTGTTTCTTGAAATTCAGAGCAGCCTCTTTTTGTCATTCAAGCTCATCTCCTTCTGCACTTCCTCTTTCACCCATGGAGTAGGAAGGATGTGAATGTATACCCCTCCAAAGTAATTTAAATTAATGAAACACAGAAATCTACAGGATGATGGAGTGAAGCAGGTGACTCTGACCTCTGGGACTTTGGGTTTTGCAGACAACTCCAGATAACATGCCAGTTGGGTACTAGCATTTGAACATTGGAAATGTCCTTGAAATAAACTTTTTTTTTTTTTTTTTTTTTTTTTTTTTTAATTCAGAGGTAATACGTGTAGCAACACCCAGAGTAAGAATCTCAAATCTCAAGTACTTTCATATTACTACGTGTCCCATTGATTTCTCAAGTAAATTCATGCAAAGATTTAACGCATTTATTGTGAGCTGGAGGAGGAGGATGCTAGCGCAGTATTCATCAATATAGGCAGTGAGAACTCATAGTTAAATGACATCAACATTCGGCCAGTAAACTCCACCTCACGGTAGCTTGTAAATATAATTGTGAATTTACTTAATGTTATCATGGGAAATGAATTGGATGCAGGCAGTTATAACATTAAACCGAATGACAAAATGAAATTCGGAACTTGGTTTTGGAGTCATAGATTGGTGAATCTCTGCAGAAAGCCCTTTAGAAGATCATGCGTCCATCTGTGTGTGTGTGTGTGTGTGTGTGTGTGTGTGTGTGTGTGTGTAGACTTTGCTGTAATCATTCAGTGGTGAAACTAGGTTGCGACTTCAACATAATTGTAATTACAGTCATCTTTTCTTTAAAAAAATTTTTTTGAAAAAATGCATAGTTGAGCAGTGGCAGCAAATATTTGAAATTAATTTAAAATTTAATACTATAAAGGAAGTGCAGTCTGTTGTGTAAATGAGGGACTTATTTTATATTCTATTACATCATCTTGTATCCTTTCTGTAGAATAAATTCCATGAACCTGATACTCAATTCAGAATGTTTTCATAATGAATTATTTTCCATTTTTTCTTTTTTATTTGCTGTCATAAGTTATGATAGATGAGAAATTCAGGCTCTTCTAAGGAGTAAGCCAAAAATATATGCTGAGTTTGGCAAAAAATGACTCTTTCTCCTGTGGTTAAAATTTTGTGATGAAGATGATATGGTAAAAAAAAAAAAAAAAAAAAAAAAAAAGCCTAGCAAATAAATATTGTCTCAGCCTTGTATAAAACGGGACCCAATACCAAGAAATCCAATGTTAAGACCCTTTGACTCCCCTGTGGAGATTTGATTCATTCACGGAAGAACTTTCAGCATACAATGCACTGTTCCCATTTTGCTGTACAGTTAGTTGTTTAATATGATAAGATAACCCTGTAGCCACTTAGGGCTACAGGTCCCCTAATATTACATTTAGCAGATGTCTACCCTGTGGGCAGTAGACTCGCTGTAAGAGTAGGAGCCAGAAAGGAATGGGAACAGGAGCCAGCAGGAATTTGCCTCCTGGTGTCCAATAAGCCCTGCCTCCGATGCTCTTAGGAGGATTGTCTCGATCTTGCTGAGCAGAAGTCCATTTGGGACTCCGAACCATAGAACTAGGACATGTTACTCTCCCAGACTTCTCCTTGGACAGATAGAGGAGCCACTGTCCCCAGAGGTTAAAGTCAAAATGCTGGGTACTGGCCGACCCAAAAGTCCTTTCCCAATGATGAATTTCAAAGGAAGCGCTGACTTTAAAATGAATACTTAACATTTTGGTGCAGTAATGTTTTCTTTGATAATATTTGCAAAGTTTTTTCCAGCTGCAGAGGTTCTGTAAGTGTGCATGTGGTTTGATTTATAACTCATACCTTTCTTTATTTGCGGTACTGCTTTCCTATCATAAATCTACCCAAGTAGATTGATACCCCTTTATTAAGTTTTGGTCCCGCATGTTTGTTTATTTTTGTAAAAATGTTCTAAGGCAACAGAAATGCCTCCCTTGTTACAGATTTGAGGTTGAGCGTTGTATCGTTACTCTTGCTTTTTTTTCCAGTGGGATGTGGTTAGATAAGTTGGATGTTGTATTCTGAAATGCAAGTAATGCGGAGAATGAAGTCTGACTCGGGGACCAGAGGCCAGTGGTCATGAGAACTTTGAGAGTGTAAATTCGGGAATAATTAGGGAGTTGAAAAAAGAAACATTTTGCTTTTCATTTTGATTTTAGTTTTCCCTGGAATTTTAGAAATGGAACTTGAATACTGGAAATATATAGATATAGATATATGTAGATATAGATATAGATGTAGATATATATATAGATATATCTATATATGTGTGTATACATATAGATATATCTACATACGTGTGTATATATACACATATGTGTACATATATACACATATATGTATATACATGTACACATATATGTACACACACACACACACATATATATAGTCAATAGAAGGATAGATTCATTTTGTTGAAAGTATCATAAGTAAACATCAGTTATTACTTCTACCAGACTAATGCGTTCCTTCTGAAAATGTTTAGGTCAGATATTTCGGCGAGATATTCATGTAATAGGTGCATTATTACCACCCATCCATACCCCACACCGGGGTACACACACACACACACACACACACACACACACACCACTGCCTTAAAGACACTGCATGGTTTTCTATTTCTTAGCTGGGGAAAAGTAGCTCCAAGCCCAAGTCCTACATAAACTAAGTATGAGTTGTCATTTTTATTTTCAAGTAGCAAAAGCTATAGAAAATGAATTCAAATGTGAACATTCCATTTAGAAGTAATATTGAGAAAAAAGATTTTGGGGTTTTCATTTTCATGCCAGCAGCAGGGTCTAATATGTGTTAGTTTTTTGTTTGTTTGTTTTATGTATTGACAAAACATAAAAAAAGGAAACTGTGCTGTCCTCCTGGAACTTAGCATTTAAAATTTAATTCTACTGATTCTCTGGAACTTAGACATTTAACAAACCTGTGTTCAGTTGATTTTCATTCTGTATTATAAATAACACTGGCGCAACAATTTTAAAAGCCCTGCTTGTTACATATTTTTAACTGTACTTTGTGTAATTTTTTTTCATAACTTTTGTACTGAAGTGACATTTAAAAAGATTTTTGTTGAAACACTGATGATCACGTTCTCTCAAAGGAACAGGCAGCATCAGTATTCATATATTGTATTCCATGTGAGAGCCTAACCTATGACATTTATTCACATATTTACATATTTATACATTCAGAAATATGTACTGACAGTCTGCTGTATGACAGGAGACTCCTATTTCCAGTGAAATAATAAGGATGACACACCTTAATAGTTGAGGTAATAATAGCTAATTGATTTAGTGCTTTAGTATCAAGAGCACTTCTATCACCCTGTTTTATATTTTGCCATTTTCAGTTCAGGAACCTCAGGCATGGGATGTTTAAATAAAGGCTCATGGTTACATTGCTAGGTGAAGGGCAAGAATTCATACCTGGAGCTTGTGAGCTTAACCAGGTTTCCTTCTTGCTCACATATATAGTAAAGGACTTTTTTAAAAAAGGCTTTCTCAAATTAATTTGAAGTTTTTACAAAATATTTAGATTTCTAGGAAGTACTGATAATTACTTAAGAGTTTTCCAGTTGTCTTTATTCTCACTGATGACATTTTTCTTTAATGTGTTTTGAAATTTTTGATTTTGTTGTTTGCATAGTGACATGCTTTTTAAAAGAAT